TATCTGGTGCTCATCGCGATTAGTTCATTGGTGCGTCCGCCGGGATTGATGTGGCTTTATCCATCCGAGGCCACGGCAAGGCTAGAGCCCGAACGATCTACTTTTGTTTGCATGGGGTAGGATTCAATGTTTGGATAGCTAACGCCTTGGATGTGCATTAAATGACAAACCGAAGTCGCTTTGGGAGAGATGTGAGTGTGCGGTAAATGGTGAGGAAAGCCAGGTCAACATTGATAGTATGCCGTGTCTCCAGTATATGTGAACAAATAGCGCTTTTTGTCGTCCTAGTTTTACGGTGTCTCTAAAAGCGGGGTTCGTGTTCGCGTATACTCTTTGATAGCTGCCTCGCAGTTCGGTCGATGAAGCTCGCTCCACAGGAGCAAGTGAACGCGTAAAGGGACATGAATGCGGCTTGAGGGGGCAGTTTAACTTTGAGGTAGAACCGTATTGCTGAGGACGTAGTGAAACCCATGCGCAATTTAGCTGTTGTAAACGTTTCACTCAACGCTTGATTGATCCGTCGTGTTATTATCCTTGAATGGCAGTTGTGAATAGAGTGGTTTCTTGTTGACCGTGTGCAGTACTGGTTGCGCAGGTATCTTCTCAGACATTTTTCTATAAAGCAATCTGGGTAACCGTTCGCGCGAAGAAAGCTTTTGATGTGTTCAAAATCTTCGGCTACGGCATTGGGAGAGCAAATTTTCCGTGCCCTCATTGATAGGCATCGCACCAAATTTCTCTTATGTTTCACTGGCACGAAGCTAATGAAATTCACATATTGTCCCGTTCATGTTGGTTTCCTGTATTCTCTTCTCTGATTAGTTCCATCTGGGTTTCAGATTAGTAGAACATCCACAAACGGGATACGATCATTGTTCTTTTTTCTCTGTAGTGAATATGATTAAGTTGTGACTTGCGTTGAATGTCTCCAGTACAGACTCAACGTCAGCTGTTTGTTTTTTATGAAAAATTTACCGTCCATGTATCGATAGTACACACTGAATTTGTGGATAGTGCCTTGTAAGATTGTACTCTCGAGTTTCCCCATGAATATATCCGCTAACAACGGTCGCAGCATAGATCCTGTTGCGACTCCATCCGTCTGTTAGTAGATTCGACCATCGAACAGGAACTGGACACCAATAGTGCATCGAAGCAAAAGCCCTTCCGGACTGGTAAATAGTGTTCCGATTTCCAAGTCGTTATCTGCTATGAATTCGCAAACTCCATAGTTTCTAGAAGAGGGACATTGGTCAATAGGGAAGTTCAGTTTAAAGAGTGTATTGTTTGTGATCCGTTCGACGAATATGAATTTGACCTTCAGACTCTAGTAGGAGATTCGTTGTCGGACTGAGTCCAGTAGTCAAAACAAAATATTTGGCCGTTGAATAAAATGGGGAGTTCGACATATCCAGGATTGACCTTACCGGTAAATCCGGTTTATGTACTTTTGGGAGGCCATATAATCTGGTATTCTCGAGCCTTGTGGTTTTAGCAGATCAAAGGTTGCCATGGTGGTGGTTATTCTCCTTCAGAGACTTCAAGCACTTCGTCACTTGCTGTTCGATCATTTCTCTTCTATCTTTCTTCACCGTACCCTCTCGAAGTTTACAGGGGACATAGTGAGACCGGATGGGCTTCTTCACATTCTTTTCAACCCGCGTGGTGACTATCTTCGACTCGATTAGCACCTTACTTAGAAGCATTTAGTCGGAGCCTATCCCATTCTCCTGAGGTGAGCCATAGGTCGTTCCAATCTTCAACGATTGCACAATCATCATCGTACAGCAAGATACAGTGAAGCGAACTTCACGATGGCGCAAACCACCGCGGGAAAAGTTTAGTTCCCATCATCACAAAAGTGTTAACTCCTGTGATACTTCGACGCCTGACACCCTTAAGGGAGATGGATATCCACGAACAGCGAGCAGGATTCCAATCAGGTCGCGGTTACATCGACTAAATCTTCAGCCTGTGTCAGGTCCTCGAATTACGTCACACACATCATCAGCCGATAATCGCAATGTTCTTTGACCGAAAAGGAGCTTTCGTCTAGTTGACCGTGAAGATTTTATGGAGTCGCTGCTTCGCATAGGCATACCGCGGATGTGAACCTATTGTGGTCACTGTCCCCACATACTTCTGGTAGCGTTAGGGTCTACTGTCGACTAAGTACATTGTTCGAAACCAGGAGCGGTGGTCGTCAAGGGTGTCCTGTTTCGCCATTTCCGTTCAACTTTGTCGTAGACGAAATACTGGAGAACGCATTAAGTAGAATCCAAAATGGAGGTATTGAATGGGCAGCTGGAGAAAAGCTGTGCGGTTCAGAGTGTGCCAATGACATCGTCCGTTTATCCGAATGTATGGAGGACACGCGAAGCGGTCTTGACAGACTTTCAAGTTCTCTAACTCCATTCCGTATGCGGTATGCACATCTGAAGTGCAAATTGACATCAAAAGATTGTGTCTACCCCGGATCCTATGTTTGACTGTCAGCAATTAGCTACCGTAGAATGTTTCTCCCACTTAAGTAGTTGCTTGACAAATAACGGTAGCGTAGTCAAGGATGGAGAAGTCGTTGTCACATCGGATTCGCTGGTTACGACACATGTTGCTCATGATTAGTGCTCGTCTACCGCACCACGCTTTATTCACAGTTGTGACTTCAAGTTGGAAGAAACCACGTGGAGGTTAACATGTGACGTGTTAACCAAGCCTGAAGAAATGCACAGTGATTAGGTAGAATAGGTGTTTCCCGTCTTGCAGTTTAGTTTTCGAAAGATACTATTTGCTTGGAAAAATGGAAGGATATGACAGTGGCCCTCTTGTTTCCATTTCTCAACAGGTTAGAATGCTTGAAAAGAGGTATGCACAGCTAGATTGTGCTCTCTATGTGTTGACCATAGAGGTTCACTTTCTTTGGCTCCCTCCAGTTAGGCCTAAATCCTATCCATCTTGTACGTTATCACTTACATTGAGTACATTGTGAGCTTGGCAGCAATTAGCGTAGTTCGCTTCACGATGATGATGGTTTATGGTGCTCATAAAACACCTATTTTCATTGAGTATCTTGACACGAGTCCTTCGGACATGAGCCATAAGTCGTTCAATCGAAGTCTTCCTGGAAAATGAAACTCCGCCCTGACCGGTCACTAGCATGTACATCATCAAGAGGAACTCCCGAGGTGAATGACAGTACTTTTATGGAGGTTAAATTCGTGAACCACAGATTCTCACATTTTTCGGCTCCCCGGTTTCAATCTCCGCTGCTAAAATATTAGCTTAGCGTCCCTGAGGTCTGCAACCTTCAGAACTTCCATGACACAAGAACAAATTTTCCACTCTATGATGGATTCAACTTCCATAGAACAAGAAAGGGAGAAGCTTTCAGTCATCGCACGTGCCAGGCCCTGATCAACTTCAGCATCCGGCGACAACCGGTTCTACTCCCCACATTGTAAGAAAAACTCATTCAGTTCTGATTGGACATCATTCGCGTCTCAAAAGTGATCAAAGACCCGATTGGCCATACCAGACTTGTCTTGTATAGTTGAAGGTCGATCCAGATTTGGTTGTGCGGTTCAACCATCCCGAATGCGAATAGGGTTGATGTTTGTGAAATCCAAGGATGTAAGTGGGGAAAAATCACATAAACGATATGTCGCGACTTCCTTGGCGCAAATTGATACGCTGATTCTATGTGTTAGTTGATCATATCCTAAATTTTGAAACCCTTATCACAGAGATCTCTTCTCATGTGAACAAGAACTTCACTTGGTTATTCGTAAAACGTGCGAAGCAGACCAAATGACAGCACCACCATACGGACCATCCTCAAACGTAAGGATTTGTAGAACTTACAATAAATGCACTAACTGGCACAACCCGTTAGATTGCTTAACCTACAAGGGAAAACATTCGGTGCGTTAGCGGTTGAACAAAAAACTACGTGGAAACCATGAGTAATGCTAATTTACCATTAAACCAAAGCTCAAAAAACAATCCAGAAGAGAAAATGATCATATTTGTGAGCCTTGGTAGAAGAGCTATCGAAGCATGTGCAGGACAGATTGTTGAAGAAAATAGTCTCCCGTCCATCTGGTTGGGAAAAATTGTCCGAGTTTGCAANGCCACAACTTACACGTGACCGAGGTATGAAGCATTCCCAAGGTCACTGTTTTGAGAAATCTTCCGATGGGAATAAAGAAAAGAAAATATAAAACGCTTCGAATCCAAGGCTATGAACGTGAAAAGATAAACAGCAGCCTTGTAGTACAGACAGTCGAGTAACATCAAACATGAGGATGTCGTGTGAAGAGACTTGGTGTTGAAACGAAAAAGTCGACACAAGCTCAGGGAGAAGGGAGTCAAGCACATGACCTCTGTGTTGACACCGCAAAACAAGACGGCGTCTGTGATACTCAAACAGAAGCAACAAAAACATCCAGCAGTGGTTGGCTAAACATGGGAACAAGACACTATACATATGGTCCATGTCTGAGGGCGCCAAAACACGGGGCAACAATGAGTAACAACCGCATTCGTGTCAGTAACGGACAAGAGTTCACAGTGAAGAAAAGATATGC